CACACTTGGCTAGAGCAAGACCTGTCATGAGCTTAACTGCCCTTAAGTGATAAGCAGAAAGTGGAGATAAATAAGGCACCTGAAGAGGAGCATGTTTTGCAGCAGCCAGAGACTTCAGAGAGGCTCACTTGTGCAAGGAGGCTTTCCCTCACATGTCCTAGGCACAAGCCTGGGATTTTGCTTTGAAGTATCTGCTCTGACTCTGCCCCTAGGGCTTGCTGGGGTTCCCTGTTTTCAGCTCTGCTCAGATAACCATCACACCAGTTAAATGAGTACAGCATGGCAAGCACTGGGGCAAAGCAGTGCCAAATGATCCTTCAGAAGCCAGACAAGGACCCCAGGTCCCAGCCCACCTGGTTTTTTACAGCTGAGATGACGCGGGTTCCCACATGCACTCAGCTGCCAGAAAATGACTACAGATGCAAACATCAAGAGAACAGTTGTGTCTCTGGCCACGTCTGCACAGCCCTGCCACAAAAGTAACAGAAACAGAAACAAACAGGGCCTGTGCCATCAACACAAATGGAGATTTGTCATTGATGGGTCTGTCATTGGAAGAGGGTGACCAGGACAGCAGTGCATGGTCACTCAGCTCTGGATACTGGAGATCCCCATCAGAAGTGAGCAGGTGGTAAGAGCATCCACAGGTCCTTCTCAGCAGGAACAGAAGGGTTGTCTGTACAGATGATCTTTAAACTGAGAGTTGATGGTCTGAGCTTGCACAGTCATGAAGGCCAACTCTTTTGCTCCCCAGGCAGCCGACAAGGATCTTCATATCATGGCACATGTCTGGGATGAGTTGGTGTGAACTAGGCAGCAAAACTGCAAGTACAAGGGAAGTCTGAAAGGAGGTTGGAGCCAGGTGGGGTCCAGCCTCTCCTCCCAGGATACTTGTGATATGACCAATGTTTTAAGCTGTGCCAGGGGAGGTTTAGGTTGTATATTAGGAAGAAGTTTTTTCACAGGAAAGATGATTAGACACTGGAATGGGCTGTCCTGGGAGGTGGTGGAGTCACCACCCCTGGAGGTGTTTAAGGACTGGACATGGCCCTCAGTGCCCATGGTCTGGGTGATGATGTGTGGTTGGATCAGAGCTTGGACTCGCTGATCTCAGAGGTCTTTTCCAACCAAACTGATTCTGTGATTCTGTGTGACTCAGCAGGGATCTGCTGGAGGTGTGGGATGGACACATGGGGGTACCAAAGCTGCTCCTTCTGCTGGCTGCAGGTCTGATCCTCTCACAGAGAGCTCTGAACCTCGGGGGAAACCCGAGGCAAGCTGCAGCTAAACTACCTCTAGAGAAGAAATAGAGCGTGCTAACGAAAGGGAGGAGGGTAGGAAGGTAGGAGGGCTGGGAGGAGCTGTGCCCAGGGCGACTGTAGGAGCTGTAGTCCCACACCCTCCATGGCTGAGCCTTAGCCAGTGCCCTGTGCTGGAAATCAGGCTCTGTGTTTCCTGGAAAAACCCAAACAACTGACTCCTTTCACCAGGGAAGCACCTGGGAAGAAAACTTCCAAAAGATCAGACTATTGCACTGATTATTTCTTAGCTCTTAAGAAAGGCTGCTCTGTTCATTGCTGCGGAACCAAGCCCCCCTCACCAGCATGAGCTGGGGAGGATGGAAGGTACCAGCAGCAGAGGGACACAGCACACAGCTCTTTTGGGTTTGACTGGAGAACGTGTGGGATGTTGATTCCTAGGCAGAGGTGTTCATGCCCCCTTTTTGCGAGAGAGAAAAGACATGTCAGAACTTTTCCAACAGAGGGAGCAACGGGACAGCCGTGGCTACTGTCAGCCACCAGCTGAGGTGCCTTATTTTGGTGCTGGAAGGGCTTGGTGCCCATAGATCCATTCTCTGGGAAACATGTGTCCATACTACAACATGTAACATCGGTCAGGATGAGACTGGAATTTGATAGTCAGAAAGCAAACACTTTAAACTTGGAGATCATTCTGGGTTGAAAAACAAATAAATACTTAGCCTCAGTGAAGATATCTAAATTAGGATTTGAAAGGTGCTTGTGGATCAAGTAAAGCAAAAGGTCTTCTGATCTGCAGACCTTCCCTAGGAATTGCAAAAAATGGCTTATGGTCACTGCAAACTGGAATGGAAATTGTTTCATACATGCCACAAGGACACATTTCAGATCAACGGTCTGTCCTCAGGCAATCTAGGCTGATCAGCAACAGATGAAGTGCAACATTTGTATTAGATTTGGTGACCACAGCAATATCAAACTTATTAAAGATTCATGTTTATCAAGTTGACAGCAGAAGCTGATAAATGATCACCTGTTTTCACTCAACAGAGAGACTAGGATACCTCCCTTTCTGGTGTGCATGCTGAAACTGCAAATATCATGCTTCCTCTGTTTTGAGGAAGCACTTTTGGCAAGCTTTGCAAAACTTATTTTTGTGATTCCAATTATTCTAGCTGTGGCAGAAAAACACAGAGGAGAAAGACAGGAGCAGCAGATTGGGCCTGATGAGAATCTGGTGTGAAAACCAGAGGTCACCAAGGACAACTCGTGCAAAAGCTAAGAAGTGTATCATCAAACCCACAATAATCATGAAGCATGCCATGACTCAGGCTAAAAGCCTGAAAAATTCAAGGAATGGATAGTGCCCAAATGGCAAGATCTTTTGTCATGGTAATAACAGCACAGGGTGACAGTGAGGAATTCATAAAATCCATCCTGCTGCCTAGCAGAATGAAGAATGGGTTCAATTGTTTCTGCTGTTGCTGCTCACATCTGCTAGGTCCCAAATGTCTCAGATCTTTGCCAGATCACACAACCTCTGACACAACACTGCGAACGAATCAGATAAGATTTCTTGCATGACTGGAATTAAACACTCACACAAGAACTTTACTAGAGCAAAGCCTTGTCTCTGCTATGCCTGAAGTTTCCCTGAAGGCTCTGTAGGGTTCACAGCCGTCACCCTCTCACTGTGTTAGGTAACCAGTAAGTTTTCTTGAGAGTTCCTGCAAATCTGAAAAAAACTGGATAGCAGTTTTGGGAAAGCTGGTACCCTGATGCCTGGTGACAGAAGGTTTTTGTTGGAAATTCTGGTATTAGCAAAGAAGAAGAGAGACTATGACTGACTGGTAAAGGCTGACAAGGAACGTCCCTGCCACGAAGCCAAACTCCTCATTAGATTTCTAAGTTTAGGAGGAGGAAAAGAAAACTACAACTGCAGAACTTCCATAATCTAGGAAATAAAACTATTCCAGCTTCCATTTTAGAATACAACTTTGTTCAGTCCTCAAAAATCAGTTGAACCTTCCTGGAAAATTTCTCAGTCATTCTGAAGATTGCACTGAAATGTGATGTAACATTATTATTTTTACCTAATTTTCATGATGAACGTCTTTGGGTAATTACTGAAGAGAAAGATCAGACTGACATGTAGCTTTTATATCTTCAGATGCTTTTGAAAGACTTTGAAGATAATATATTAACATATTCATATGGAAATTTAGCTATATATTTTCAAGTTTTTTGGGTACCAATTTTTTTTACTGCTCTGATGGGAAATCCACCATACCACTTTGTAAGCCCTTGGACTATTCACCTCAGCTAAATTCAGGATGCAAGAACAAAGTGTTATCAGGAAGAAGTAACAATAAAATATAATAACATATAAGCTGAAAAAAAATTTGCAGAATCACTGTGGAGGTTTGACAATGCCTGCCCTTGTAGCTCAGCCTGGGCTGCAGCATCCTGAGATGTTCCTGATAGTCTGACTGGAAGAGCAGAGATGCCTGGCATTAAGCATGTTGGCACTGCTCAAACCACCCAGTGGTTCAGCGATAGTGGACTTGGTCCTGATGCAACACAGATTTTATTCCCTTGTGCTCTGTAGGGAGTTTGATATTATGGTTATTACGGTTAATAGTCAGTGGATTAGGAGTCACAGCCCTCTTGTGCATCACCAACCAACAGTCCCACATCTTTCCCAGAAGGACGAGAAAACTCTCAGCCCAAAACTTGCCACTGTTTGCTCCAATGCCATGGGTTGATAAAATCTGTCTTAAAAAAAAAAACAAAACTAAAAAAACCCTCAAGATCAGGTTGTCATGTGAGGAGTCATTCTGGGTTTCTGTAAGACAGAAATAAATCCAGTAGTGCAGAACTCCAGTAGGAAGGATATTTTGGGCAGGATTTAGAGAACATTCCCGCCTTCAGCATTTCCGGTGAACAGCACAATGAAAAAACCACATTTTAAAAGAGGCCTGTGAGTGTGGAAGGTGAGCCTTTCCGGAAGCTGGTCATTAACACGCCATTGTCTAATGAGCACTGATGTCAGAGCTGGCTGCAAACACCGCAGGGCTCAGCCGAGGAAACGACTGCCTGAAGATAAATGGTGACAGTGATGTATGTCACTTGTAAACAGCACTAATCAGAGATGCCGGCCGGGAACCGCGGGCCAGGCAGGAAATGAATACAGCTGTCAACTTTGCAGACTCACTTTCTTATTCTGACCTTTCAAAAGACCAAATAAATTAATTCAGTTTAGCATGGATGTAAACACTTTCCCCGGCAGAAGTTCTGATGAAGCTACAAAGACTCCCAAGCCTGTGCCACTCTTGAGTTTTCATCACGGATGGCTTAAAAAAGTCCTTCAGCAATGCCTGGCTAGTAGACCCCAAAAGCAGTGTTATGTTCCTGTTGTCAGTGCTTCATATCTGAAACAACGCAATTTTGTTTCCTTCCTTTTAAACAGCAGCAACAAAGGAGAAAAACACATTTTTCAACGTGAGCTGCGTGCAGGCGTCACAATGATTCTCATCTAACTGAAGAACCCCACACAACAACCCCACCCCTGGGATGCATCTTTTGAGGGCACCACTAAACAAATTCCCTGAATTAGCAGACAGCAAGATCCTCTAGTCGACATTTCCAATAGAACTCCTTTCCTTCTGGATTTGCTTCATGGGGAAGAGATAAAAAAACAACCATTGGTTGGATCATATTATTATTAAATTTTATGTCCAATTACTGTTTCCAAAAAGGAATAAACAACATAAATATTGAGGAGTGATAAATTGGTCCGAAGTGACTGAAGAGCAGAATTATTAATTAAAACCAAATTAGTTCAAAACACATAATTTTAGTTTTCAAGTCCTCAAATGTCTTTACAAGAAAACGAAATATGGAAATTCATGTTTTCAGCCCATGCTCTTCAGTGAAGTTTCTTTCCATGCTTATTTCTTCCTGTAAGAAAAAGCAGTAAAAACACTATTGGTTTGGGTATTTTGTTTTTCTTCTCACAAATAAAATACTGCTTCCCTTCGGCAGAAACCTAACCCAAGAAAAGCCATACTGGTAAGATTAGATTTGAATAAGAACAGTGCTGGAGCTTGGCTGTGGAGGAGCCTGTGCAGTGCCAGAACATGAGAATGGAAATGGAGGAGGCAAAGTTTGCATTTACCTGGGAAGTAAGGAAAACAGCTTTGGAGAGAGATGCTCTGGGACTACTGACAAAGGAGGATTTCCCATTGTGCTCCAGCTCTTTGTGCTGTGCTGAGCTGAACTGCTCAGTTGGGGCTGCACTTCTATTCAGCTGGACTGAAAGCCTGAATCTCTCAGAGACTCCCTGTAAAAAGGAAACATTACATTCTCAGTGTACAATACAATGGCCTTGTTGTTAACACTGTCAGTCAATATTTCTTTCACAGAGGGCAGCTACTGTGTCTATACAAATCAAGCATGATCTGATCATCAGCTGTGACAGGACCTTATCAAACACCAACAGAAGCCAGCACAGACACTTTTCAGCCAAAGGACAGGAAGGCCCAAAGGATCAGGACATGACCTCATCATCCTGCACTTTATGCACTATTCAATTTTACTTTTGTGTCACATGAAGATTGCTATGAAAATACATTTAGTATTCATCCAACCATTGAAAAATGTATTTCTGCAAGTAACAGAACATTAACTCAATATTGTTCTCATATTTCAGAATCTTGATTTGAGGGCTTAAAAATCAGTAGCCTCCTTCCCAATAGATTTGTGAATATATTTCAGTGGTTAGAGAAACGGTTGGGAAACAGGACATTTAGTTCTCATCACAAATTTTTTTAGAGCTTTCTAGATCTCTAGTCATGTCATCAACATAATATTGTAGGTGTGCTTTATCTGGTTTTAAAATAACTTATTCGTTTTCCTGTATCATCATCCTGCAGCACCCAAAATGGCCCAGAAGCATTTACAGGGTCATTAATACTGTTACTATAACTACTGTAGCTTACAATTCAAAACAGGGATGCTCATTAGCACCAGCAGCAGTGCTGACAAAACACAGACTGACTTGGATGTAATTTGGCTACTTCATGGCCTAGATTTAGTATAAGCTTTCTATTAATGGGGGGGGGGGGGGGGGGGGGGAAGTGTGGGTGAGTAGGGGAAAATTGTTTGTGATTATTTCCCCCCTCTCCACATTCCAGATTTCTAAGTGAATTCTCAGGAGGTGCAGAGCACACTGCTGCAGTCAGGACTGACACAATTGCTTGCACTGTAGTACAGGAATAATTCAATCATCTAAGGAATAAAACCCATGTAGAGTCATTGAAGAGTGAGTTGGACAGGCCCTTCAGATCATGGCTGGTGGGTGCTGAAAGAGGGGACACAGCTGCTCATCCCCATCTAGAAGCTGCCTGGCACAGTGGCCCCTCATAATTCACTTCTGAATTATATTCCATCTCCAAATCTTCCTTAAATCAGCTTAGATAGGATGTGGAGGCTACAATTACAAATATTTTCCATGAGCTGAAATCAGCAGATAACAAAATTATGTCAGATAGGCACGGACAATATTTTATACATGTAACAGGTAAAAAAGCTCATGTGACCACCACTATTGCAGAAAAGTGAAATAAAATCATGCAGTCTATCTTTATTTACTTATCTGTTAAAGGCAGAATAAATTATTAAACACATCTGTGGTTAAAGCCAGTTTAAAATATGCATGATATAAACCTTCTCTGAAATTGAAAATTAGGTTTAAACTGTAACTCTGCTTCCTAAAGTCCCTTGGGTTACAAAAGGCAGTTGTGCACTGTTCCTCATTCAGTATGATTTTAAAAATTGCATCACACATATGGCACATGAGAGTTTTTCAGTTAACTCTGAAAAAAAATCACGATAGATTACATCTTATTCTTCTTTTAATGGTTCACAAATTTTGATTCCTAGCAGAGTTGGGATTTTTTTCATTTCTTTTGAATATTCCATTCAAAGAATCTCCCATTCCCATTCTCCTTAGCTTCGCACGAAAAAGGCCACAGTGGAACTCTCACCAGAAGTACCTATGGAAGTAAAACACAACAAAATTATGGGAGGTAATGAGGTCATGTCTTCTCCTCGAAGCTCTGTGTCCTACCTGAGAAATCAAAATTAGACACTGCCATTAAAAATATGAGAACTATTAAATTCTTAATCAATTAATGGCAGTAATTTTAACCCTTTCCAGTGCCTCATTCAGCTAACACTGAAGATGTTTCTTTACTGGATGTATTATTCTTATGACACCTCCAACAGAAACTGAATTTAAACCCAAGAAAATTAACTGACATCAGACTTGTATGTGAAGAGATAACTTGTGCTGATGAACCTCAAAGATTAATATATTTTTACCTTATGTAAACTGAAATGAGAAGTTTTGGGTTATTTAGTAACAAAATAAGATTTAAAAAAACACTGATTTTTTTTTTTTTTTTTTCTGAACTAAAGACTTTCTATCCTGGGTGGGAGATTGCAAGTAAACACAAATCCACAGACAGAGAAGTGAAAGAGGGAGCATTTAGTGGATGAACTGGAAATTAGAAGTGGGTGGTTGTCATTTCTGAAGAATGGTGCAAAAATTAAAGTATCTGTTTGCAAAATGATTGATCAGCCAAAGCTTGGAGGAGACACTGAGAAACTCTGAGTTTGAAGTCAGGGCGCTGTGGATGGAGCTGTGTGCAGCACATGGCACTGACGCTGCAGAGGGCAGTTTAAGGGCAGATAGGCGCTTCTGGGGGCTGAAGAGAAGGCTGGATGTTATTTCATGCGACATTACTGTCATTAAGGTTAATTTTAGGAGCCTAGGGCATGTACAGGTGTTTGGGGGCATGGGCTGGTGTCACCCTACCCTGAGCAGGAGCTGAGCTGCACGGAGCAGCTGCTGCTCTGGGCTGCGGTTTGTAGCGTGAGCCCTGCAGAGATGCAGTGTCATTTCCCTAAGGGACGAGGGCACAACCAGAGCTGCCCTTAGAGCCCGGCGTGGGCACAGCTGCAGTGGCCAGTACAGAGCCACCTCCTGCACCACCTCCTCTGGACACAGGGCTGGGGCTGGCCAGGGCAGTCCAGGCTGCTGCAGCATGTGAGAGCCCGAGCCAGCACACACCAGGGACGAGAGAGCAAAGGGAACCTTGCTGGAAGCTTCTCTAGAGGAAGATGGAGAACCCACTTCTTTTATTCCCCCAGCTCAACATTTCTGCTTCAAAGGATAAACCCTATTACAAAGTCATGAAACCAGCGATTAAGGAAGAGCCAAACAAGGCAAGCAAGCCTGGGTAAGTGTTCAGGTCATGCCAACCTTCTGCATGTTCTATTTACATGAAGGATTCTTCTAGCACAGTTCGTGGGGGTGAATTTAGGGCACAGCTAATTTCATTTTTGACATATATGTGAGAACTCAAGAACTGCAATCCTAGAAATTGTATGTGTAAAATATTAACTCTTTAAGAAGAGAGTTATCTCAAAGAACTCTCGTTTTTTTTGAGGACAAGAAACATACCAAATTAATGATCTAAAAATACTAAGAAAGAGAGGTTGCAAGAAGTTCTGAGAAATGCTTCTCTAAAGCCTGAATATGATCCGGGAAAGCTTTTTTCAAAAATTTCAAATGACAGGAAATAATACTTCCTTTTTTCTTTGTGAAACATTAAAAGTAGAAGACGCTGAGCCAACTGTTTACATTGTCTAATGGGAAGTTTGGCCCCTCATCTTTAAAATAAATTAAAAGGATGCTGAAAATTAAAGGATTTCCATTTTTGTTTGCCAGTGCAAAATATGTGCTAAGCTATGAAGAAAAAAACATTAATGTGAATAATATATGTAGGAGAAGTAACACCAACATTACTGTAAGTGAAAATAGGTAGCTCTATAAAGCAGAAGGAGAGAATGCTTGAGAGGGAAAAACCAACTTTCTACAACGTTTCTTGAAAAGCTACTCCAATTCTGTCGTAGAGCTAAGCAGAAGAGAAATAGGCTGAGCCTGCTCCTGCAGAAACCTGAATTCCATGAAAGTGATCACCTTGGCAAACCTGGAAACTTGACGAAAGCAGCAAGGTAAACATTGTAAAAGACTGGGTTGGCTGGGGATTCCCTCCAAGAAGCACCTGTGTGACTTGGGATGTTTCCTGTACCCATGCGTGTGCATTCAGACTGGGCAGAGTAACACTTTGAAAATTTCTCAGTGTAACCCAAGCATGCAAACACTACAGAATTACCTGGTATTCATTGAGGTAATCAGCAGTGTTTTCACACCACTTGGTCCCCATACATTTGCAGAGAGGTTTAAACCTTGCGCCAGCAGCCTTGGTGTGAGTCCACTGATTGTACAGAGCAATAATCCACTCAGAAATGCAGCTGGCAGGAAAATCATACAGCAAAGCAGGTTTTCCAAATGCTTCTGTGATGCACAAATGCCATAGCTGTGTTGAATAGTGAATGCAGAGTTCCTCAGCAACTGCAGTAATTGGTTGAACACTCTTGTCTCCAAAATTCATACACTTTGGTAGTATTGTCCCTAGTATTTACCATAAAGATGCAGGGTACAATCTTGGGTTTACTGACTTCCATAAGAGTTTAATTCCTCACTTCAATGGAGTACCAAGACATCACCGCTATATTAAGAATTGCATTTGTAGGTCCTGACTGAGAAGAAGAAATAAGTAGAATGCTACAACACTGTGGCCAAAAGAATGTATCAGTCCTTTTTTCCCACCACAAATCATTCGAGAACACTTCAGTGCTTACCACAGCCTTTTCTCTTATTCCAGCACTTCCCACTTTCTGGACCAAGCTGCCTGCTTTCACCAGAGCTGCTTCTACAAGCCACTAATGTGCTAATTAATAAGCACGTGGTAGAGGTCACCTAAGGGCCCAAACTCTGCTTCCAGAACCCGTGGAAAAGTGGCTGGGGAGGGGGTATTTAAACAATCCCACCGGTGCATCTGAGTCACGTTTGCAGATGTCCTGGTTGCAGACATGTCAAACCATTCTAAGATTGCATTTGTAAAGAGAAAGTAGAGGCAGAGAGTGCTGTGTGGCTCACATACCCCAGGTATTTAATGCAAAGTACAGCCATTCACTGCATTCTTACAATCTGCCAGATGGCACTTTCAGAGCAGTAACAATTCTCTGAAGAATTTCCTCCTTTTAACATCATTTCCTCATTCAGCCAGCTGTCTTTTACCATGTTACTCTCAGCTGGTGCCTGACTAACAGAGATTTGACTGTTCTTGTATGAAAGAGAAACTTGTAGATTTTTGCTGGTCTTATATTTGGATTAAAGTGACAATGATATTTGTCAAAAATGGAAAAAAAACAACCTAATAAATTTACTCTTTTTCAAATAATAAAGTGAGATAATAGTTTGAAATTTATTAAGTGATTTACTTAGCTTTTATAATTTCCATTTTTCACACAGACTTACTAAAATAAGTAGAAAGAGATTTTAATAAAACACTGCAGATGGAAATTGAGGTGATAGTAGAAAAGTTAATTAATCTGTTCATTTAAAAGTTTGTTTTTAGTTTAAATGTCTATCCATTAGTTTAAATTAGTTTCTTCTCATATTTAGAAAGTGGCAAAGTTGAGCAAATCTTGGTTTCTCTCTATTATTGCACAAGCTCACTGCTGCACTCAGGAGGCTCCCAGGTTGTTGCAGATGCTGAAGGAAAACCAGAAACTCACAGTAGGAGTTTCCAAACGCAGCAAAGATCCTCTCCAGCACTTCATGCCTTTGTGAATGGAATTTGTGGTCTAGAATCATAAGGCTTTATCTTTCACTACGGCCAAAAAAAATTCTGTAGGTACAGGAACCTGCAGCTGGCAGAGTTCACTGTACTTTCTGTAATTCTCATAACTAAAAAACGTTGTAAGGGAGTGAGGTCTCGTTTCCCTGACTCCAGATTTCCCCTGCTTTCCTGAATTTCTCCTCATGAACTGTTTTCTTCTCCCTAGTTAAAGTTTTCATTCCTGCAAGAAATTACTTCAGCTATGAAACATGTGACACCTATTAAAATTTCAAAAACCAAAACCAAACGCCTCCTTTCACATTTTGTGCAAACCCAGAGTCATTATTGGCTTAAATTCCTTACCAAAGAGATTGGAATTTCCTTTCATCTAAACTTCACATGCCTCCTCCCTGCCAAGGGAGCCCAAACTGTGTAAATCAGGAAACAGAACAGCAAGCCTTGATGAGGAAGTGGGATCATGTTCCAGAAACGTTTGGTCCATAAGAAGTTGATTTGATCAACTAATCCCAGACCAGTCACTTACTGGTACTTCCAGTGTTCTGTGATTTGTCCTGGAATGAAAATGGTTCCAAACATTCATAGCCACAAAGCAACTGATAAAAATTGCTTCTTTTTTCCCTTTCTTTGCTGTTTCCTAGGGCAGATTTTTCAAAATTGACATGAAACACGTGCAACTTGACATATTTGATGAAGAACATGAGTTTTATAAATGAGGCACAGTGTCTAACATGGCATTTGAAATGTTTGTGGTAAACAAACCAGACTACATGTGCTATTGCCCTGTAAAACTGACACCTAAACCATAGTGCTACAGTTTTTTCTTCGGGCTACAGAATTCTATATATTTCATTAAAAGCAGACTCTGGTAACAGCCTCAGAATGAGCATATTCAAAACTACATGTCTGCATGACAATCTCAAGTTTAAATAGCTGACAAGACCTGGTTCCCTTATGAGTTTTACCACGCTACATGGTCTCAATTCCCTTAAAGATTAGTAGGACAACACAAATACCACAGTGAAAAGCCTCTGCTCTGATGTTTTTACAAAAAGAGAAAAGAAATATAACTCTGCAGGAAAAAAATGTCAAGAGTGAGTTAAAGGAAATGTTCCTGAAGCCCCTAAGAGAATGATCTCCCTTAGCAGGTGATCTAATCAAAGGCTTTGTGGAACAGTCCTGAGCCACAATGGTGACAGATAATGTGTGTTACACAGCTTCCTAAATGCACAGTATGAACAATTATTCTAACTCCTTTCTTTTTCTTAAGCAGTGTGTCTCCTGAAGAAGCAGTGAAATGGGGAGAGTCTTTTGACAAACTCCTTTCTGAGAAAGGTCAGTAGTTTTTTTGTCTCTCCATGCAGACTGTTAGAATGAAAAATTGATGGTAAAGGATGGAAAATTATAAAATCCAGTTATGCCCTTGAATAGACATGCCAGTTACCTAAACTAGGTATGATGGGTTATTTATGGCAGCATGTGTTTCCTGCTCTTCTTGTCTTCTTCAGCTATAGCTTGATGTCAACTTGTGAAAATAATTTAAAATAATTTTTGTGTTTGGTGTTTTATTGAACAAAGTAATACAGCAGACAGTAAAGAGTCTCTTCAGTAAACAGGGACATTTAACCATAATATTCCTCAAATATTCCTTACTGCATATGCTCCATGTACTTAAGAAAAGACTTTGTCACTCCTGACAGTTTGTTTCTAAGCCAGTGATTGGATCCAAGCTGGCCATCATTGAGAGGCCCTGCTGCTCCCATAATTATCAAATGCACATATGTTCCTGCCTTTATTTTGGAGGGGCACACGTATGATTCAGCTACAGTGCTGGACACTGTGGGCTTTTCAAATCTGTTCCTTGAACAGTTCACATCCACACAATTGCATTACTTCCACAGATGAAGCATGCTTGGCAAAGAAAATATCCTCAGCATAACAACAGCAGGATAAAGCCAATTACAGACATGCTGAAAGCCATCCATTTTAAATTGCTGCTGAGGAGTAGTTTACTTATGAGCAGAGATTCAAATAGATTTTTGATCAAACTGAATTGATATTCAGCTGGAATAAAGTCCACCACTTCCACATACTCCCATATGTTTTGCTTAATGTTTTTTCTAAATGTATGAGATCTTGGTAGCATTTTTTTATTGATGCTGAGAATTCTGTAAGGAGAGTTACAGGATCATAGTGGAGAAACTGCACTTACTTACAGCATTTATGTATTCTAGGATAATTATCTATAATGTGGTATTATTCCAACGGAGCAAAACATATTTTACTACCTTGCACAGACTCTTTGAAAGAGAACTGTCTGATAAGGATATATTTTTTAATGCAATTCAACTTTCCCTTTCGTAGCTGGGCTGGATGCCTTCACAAAGTTTCTGAAAACTGAGTTCAGTGAGGAGAACATTGAATTCTGGATAGCCTGTGAGGATTACAAGAAAAGCAAAAGTGCACATGAACTTCTGCCAAAAGCCAAGACCATTTTTGAAACATTCATACAGAAAGATGCTCCAAAAGAGGTAAAGACCTTTCTCATTATACATAGTGTTTGATTGACACAACTGCATCTGGTGAAACTTTCTTTTGAGAAGTGCATGCCCAGAAGCAGCTTCAAGAGCTAATCCTACAGTCCCCTGATATAAGAAGACTTTCATAAAAGTCAGAACTCTGGAAGGAGCATGGGCTTGTCTTGATTGACTCCCTCTCCCTTTTCCACCCCTCCACCTCCAATTGTATATCCCTGGTGTGTTACTGTCAGCACAAAATGATGTTGATATGACAATCCTCACCAACACTAAGGCCTTTTCTTAATATCCTAAGAATGAAAAAAGTTTTCATATTTCCAACTTATTCATTTTACTGAAGTTTGTGAAGGGTTCATAAATGAACAAAAGAAATAATTTTTTGCCTGCCCTAAGAAGGAGATGAACAGGTTGGGAGATCATCAAATTTCAGTGAAATCACAAGCAGCCTCTTGAATAGGTCTTTTTGACTTACATTTTCCTTTAAATCTATCGCGTTTGAGTAGATCAATAGCTGTATTTTTTTATTTGCCAGAATAGGAGAAGTTAAACACTAATTTCTGCTTCCTTGTAATGAGGGTGAAAAAGGTGTAATTCTCATTTTAGTGAAAAGATTGCAAAGCGATGCAGTTTTCACGTGCAATTCCCATAGATTGCATTGGGATTCAGATCTGCTTTTCCTAGAAAATGCCTACTTTTGAGGACTTATGTCCCTTTCCATTCCTTTCCCTGCTGTGTGCCTTTGGGGAGAAGCAGCCCTGGACAGGTAACAAGTGCTGACACTGTCAATGCTTGAGACTGATTGAAACAAAGAGATGAGCAGGAGAAAGCTGAGGAGAGGACAGGGAAGGGAAGTCATAGTAACATAACAATTTCTTTCTCTGCCATGCTTGAGTTTGGTGCAGGCAGGGTGGATGCTGTGGTTCACCTTGGACACTTGGCTTTGGTGTGACTTCCTCCCTTGGGTTCAGCTGAGACCACATAGCTCTGGAGCTTGCACATCTCCTCTGACTCCTTGTCCAGCAGAACTCTTTTACACAAATTTCTGAGCCTACAGTTTGATGGGAACATAAAATTTTGGATGAGTGGACCCTTTTCTGATCACTAATTGCCCTTCAGCTCTTAGATCTAGACTATTTGTTCCAACTAGTTGTATGGAAATAGGACAGGCACCTCTCAGGGAGGAAAAGAAAAACATTATAGAAGTCGCTTTTTGATTGGCTCAACAATTTTTAAAATATATTCTACCTTATTTTTCAAAATAACGTGCTTGAACCAGTGCCTGTCACTTCATTAAAATTCTTATATGATTAAACCTTTCCCAGGGTGAATGCAGCAGCTCATGGAGTAAATAGTCATTTTGACATACTTTCCCAATCTAAGGCCTCCAGAGACCCATTAAAAAAAAAAAAAAAAATAGAATTTTTTCACCTTCCTACCACACAAAATACACAGAAACCAGAAATTTTAACTATTCACTAATGTCATCTTATTAGAACAAGTTCTACTTTAATCCTACATGAGAGCAGGGGAGATCTGTAATAGTCCGGTATTGCAAAGCTAGGAAGCTGTGACTATACAGTGATCACTGTAAGGAAGTTACTTTTAGTCAAATATCAGAGTTTTTCTTCTGTTTCCCCAGTTTTCCATGGTACCAATGATACATTTCTGGAGACTTTCTGAGAGCCACCACTGAAGGCGAACACACTAATTCTGTGGTGTTAATATCCTGTTGTATGGGGGATTCAAGGTCCTCCTCATGCTTTGAGAGGCTACTAGGACAGAGGCTGGGCAGAGTTAAAGGAATAAAACAGAGATTTATTAAAGGCCTTCACAGGATACACCTTGGGCAGTACAAGATACAGTCACGGATACACCCAATATGGACGACAAGTCACAAGTTTTCACACTTTTAGGTTTTGGTCCATTTCCATATTTGGGTTAATTGTCCAATTCCAGCTTCAGGTTATGCAGTCCCATCCTCCCAGTTTGGTCTCCTCCATTCCCTGTTGTTTGCACTTTTTGGGCCTGAAGCTGCAACGGTGTCCTTGGTTCTGGGGCTGGAAAAGGATAGTTTTGTCTAAGCTGTGAAGAGAACTTGCTAACTTTATAAGAAGTTCAGAGTTATAAACTAATGCAGTACAGAATCTGGAAAATATGAAGGCTCAAACCTTAAGGCTTCACTCTTATCAGAAAAGTCTTTTCCCTGTATCAGGTGTACAGTATCAGCGCTGTAGATAATAACACTGGATATGCATTAATGTACATTAAACAAATACCCTTTTCCTCGTCCTCCAGGTGAATCTGGACTTTCACACCAAGGAAGTCACAAGCCAGAGCATGGGGCAGCCCCTGCGCAGCACCTTCGACGCGGCGCAGAGCACGGTGTACCGGCTGATGGAGCAGGACAGCTACCCGCGCTTCCTGCGCTCCGCCGCCTACCTGGGCCTGCTGCAGGGCCGGCCCGCGGCCCGCGCCCCGCTCCGCCGCCGCTCCCGCTCCTTCACCGTCAGCGACTTCCAGGGCGTGCGGCCGGACCTCACCGTGTGGTGACAGCCCAGCTCAGCCCTCCTGTCCCCGTGTGGTGACAGCCCGGCTCCGCCCTCCTCACCCCCTGTGTCACCGTGTGGTGACAGCCCTGCTCAGCCCTCCTCATCCCCAGCTCCTGCAGCAACCCGGGTGTGTTTTAAACCCCAAACCCTCAGCAGGTGTAACTAAGTGGTGAAGCAAAAGAAGATTCACTTACAGCAGGTCAGAGTTCTGGAGCAGAATCTCACTTTCATAGAAAAGTAGGTGATGTATTGGCAAGTCATAACATGCGGAGTTTTCATATAGGATTTTTGTTTTTTTAAACTCACAGCAAAGGCTGTGATCAGATTTGGGGGAAAAAAGTTGATTTTCCTGCTTAAAAATGTCTCATATAGTGCCATTTGATATTGCCCCATATGTATCCTGGGCCTGTACCTTTAGGCCAGAGTTTCATCACAGTTAGAATATCTGTATCCAGTCTTTGCACACATTTATGTTTTTGCAATATTTCCTACACTAAGCACAGAGAATTTGTGGTATTTTCTGATACTGTAAAACACACAGGATCATTATTAGGTATAATGCAAAGTTATATTTATTTTAACTAAAGACACTGCATAATTAAATCTATAATTAAAATGTGGCCATTGCCTATTTTAAGAGGAACGTAAAAATACTATTTAATTTTCTGGGTTACATTTTTCTTATTCCACATGTCTGCTGTCTATTTTTAAGTTATGATGTATATATTAGCTTTGGCATCAAATGCATGTATTCTAATTTTTTGCAACTAAATGAGCAGCAGCAAGGGGACAAGAATGCTATTTTAACACAATGTGTATCCTTAAATACCAGGTGATGTCTATGTATATAAATATAAAATATTTCTACTTTTATTTATAAATAGTCGTGGTATACCAACTTTGTTACTACAGCTCTTGGACTCGGGCAGGGCAAGTTTCAGTTACATTGGACATTAATATCCTCTCTATAGGTTGTAGAAGAGGAAGAAGAAATCTTCTTTTTTATTTCTTTACTATCGAAGAGAGACTTTTTTTTTTTTTATAGTCAGCACACAGTCATTCTGTCCTTTTCTTTCACAGTTGATGCAGACATACCTTGAAGCTTGGGGCAGTTCTTAAAATCTTAAACATTGGTTCAGTTTAGGAAGGGGCTGCAGGATTTATCTGTAACTATGACTTGTATACTACATTGTTTCTTATGGTATTTAAGCTTTCTCCCTTTCCCTCCCCTTTCTGTAAATGGTGAAGGAGAAGAGATGCAGTTCCTGAGGATGGGACTTTGTGTTGATTGTTAATTTGGGGTGTATAAGAACTGCTGGATCTGCAGGTTTCCCTGTCTGCTTTATTAACTTCCAATAAATCTGATCTGCTTAAAGAGTTCCAGGATTTGATTTATCATCAGTACATTGATGAGGAAGATGTGAAGACTTCACCTAGGGTTCAACTCTAGCTGTATCACTGCCACATTAAACAAATTGTTACTGTACACAGAGATCCAAACTCACAAGGAAATGCTGCTGAGCCACAGTGACCCAGGAGCCATCTCCAAGCTCTTACCTTTACCTGGGGAACAGAGAGGAAACACATTCGTAATGATGATCCATGCTGGTTTATTCATCACCCTCCCCTGATCTCAAAACACCAGGTATAGGCTCTTTCTGACAGTGAAAGCAGTCACAACCTGGGCGAAGGGGTTTTTTCACTGAAAGAATGGTCAGGCATTGGAATGAGCTGCCCAGGGAAGCGATGGGGTCACTGTCTCTGGAAGAATTCAAGAGGCCTCTGGCTGTGGTGCTTGGGGCTATGGCTTAGGGCTGACTGTGGCTGGGGAAGGTTAATGGTTGGATTAGATCTTGAAGGTCTCTTCCAGCCTTGGGGATTCTGTGATGAGGGAGTCTCTAGTATCACCAACAATGTCTGAATGCCAGTTCACAGATATTTAAAATATGCGTGTTCCTGTATCGTGTACGAAGATCCGTGTTGGAGGAAGAGATTTGAGAACAGCCCCACCTGAGTGTTGGCACTGGCCTTGTTACCACACAGACATAAAACCTGCACACTTGCAGCTAAATTCTACCCTGGTGTGATTATGTCCCTTCATAATCGCGGAGAATCCATATCTTGGATGGATTGCCATGAAGGAAAGTAATGAAAAAAGTACATATATTTAATACTGTTCCAAAATCCAACTGAATTACAAATATAGTATCTAAGACATTTTCATGTTAGCAAAATCCCAGCTGCTAGGCAGAAGGGTCTGCAATGATAAATAGAAGTCAGCAGGTGCCCTTTATTTCATTTCACAGACACATGGAAAATTTTGCTTATCTCCAGGGAGGTCTTCCTCAAACCCATCAGTCTGCGGTACTGACAGTGCGAGTCCCTCTTATGAGTTTTATAATGAAAACAAACAAATAAGATATTCCTGTTAGCTGTTTATGCATGTGTGTTTTCCAAAGATAATTATGAACCCTAGCTGAATTTATAGCAGACTAGTGCCATGGGAACTACTGTAAAAAGAAAGCCAAGATAAACTCAGAGAAAGGAAGGCAAAGGACACAAAGATAAACCAAAATGAAATAATTATCTGGCAATGGGTTTTTTTCTAGAAGAGGCTCCTTTTAGTGAGGGAAAATGAGCACTCTACTATTTAGTGCTGTGCTGCAGTCCTGAAGATGAACTAGGTATGGGTTTAGTACAAGTCTGTGATGCTGTTACAGGATTGATCAGACTCAGGACTGGCCCTGCACAAATGTATTTTCAGCACAAATCTCTGGGTAGTACCAGAGAACACAGTCAGGCTTCTCTAGTTTTGGCAGAATCCATGTCACAGTTATGTAAATCCTCCTGTTGAGCCACCCTAATGCAAATAATACATATACTAAGTTGGGCAAGTACCATTACTGGAGATTGTTTTATGTAGCAGCTTTTTATATGTGCCATTCAGGGTTCAGCAACAGCTCCCAAAACATTCCTCCTGTCAACACAATAATTTACCCTACCCAAACACTGCACTTTTCTCCTTACATTGGTGAAGTCTCAAGACACAAAGCATGAGGGAAGCAATCTGCTGACTTGTGTGGCACCAAGGTTTTTCTCCTGTTTCAACACTTCAGTCTAATTAGATGCTTTAAATTGGCTGAAGATGCTGTTCTTGTTTAATTTGAGGGAGGTAGAAATACACAGGACTAAATATCTTCTTCTGGTTGTGGATTTGTTACTGAACAAAAGACAATTTGATTGATTTTTCAACTGACAAAAAGCAAGAATGAAATCAAAGATAAAGAATCTCACAGAAGACTGATTTCCATTTCCCAGTGAAGCAGGCAATCAATAACACGGCTCTTACGTGCTTTTACATGCTACAACTTTTAAGTGACTCACAAACAGCAGATCATTTTCCTCTCCTTTTGTCCCCAGCTGCTCAGCCTGCCTTAAATAGCTACTGCTTTGCATGCAGTTCCCTCTCCTTTTCACACATGCTGCCAAACACATCAGCTGAGAAAAAAAAAAGCAGAAAATCATCTTCCTCTCATCAATGATTCATATGCTCATGAACTTACACCTTACTCAGTTGCCTATCCCAGATCCCACTCTGTTCTTTGCATTTTAGTCAAATGCCTCAATCAAATGCACTTTAAGCTCCTGTGTGGCTCTGTGCCAAAGAAAAAAATTTATTTCCTCTATCCACCACCTAAGCTTGCTTCCATTTTTACTTTTCTCCTTGTTAATGTGTTGCTATCTTCCATTTGTTGTGCTCTTATCACTTAGAGCTGGTCTCATAAAAGCTCCTTCTGGTTTCATACCAAAGGAGTGAATTTCTCTCTTCTTTCCTAAATATAATCTGTTTGTGTAACCTCCTCCTAATTCTCCCTTATACTTTACAGGAAATTATCTGGACTCCCAGATTTACAGTCTAGCCTCTACCATTGCCTTCTCCATGAAGGGTAACTAAAATTAACTATCAAGAAACACAATCCTACAGCAGTCATTTGAGAGTTTTCAAGCAGGACAGAAGATTTTTTAGGCTGAAGCCTAAAAAAAGGACAACTCTGAACTCTCATTTCTTCACCATAAAATTTGCTTGTAATGAAGACACACTTGTTTCTTCACAGCTTAGTGGCCTCATTTTAAATTTCTGCAGCTAATGCTATTCCAGTTTTTCCTGGTTGTACATTTTCTTGAGAATTGTTTTCAGTTCTTTTCCAATGGAGGTTTCTGATTGTACAGCACTTGGAAATCATGAATATGAGGAGCCCAGAGTGCTGTAAAATATTTTGACAGCTTGTTCTTGAAATCAAAACATTTCACCTGAAGGGCATAGTTTGCTTGGGTGGAAAATAACAGCTCATTTTCTTATGCAAAACAACTCTGTGGCATACTGAAGGCACACAGAGTTATTCACATGGAAAAATATCAATTATTTTGTGAGTTGCCCATGCTGTGCAGTGCTGTGGGAAGGTGGGCATTTACATAGTATTCTGATTAAGGTGTATTTGCATCCCTGTGGGACAGGCATTTCCATGTTCTTAGGATGCCAGCAGTGCTTGGATCACATTGGCTTCTCCCAACATAAGGGATGCACCCAAATCCCCGTGGGCTTTGACTGCTCAGGGCAGCAGAATATTAATTTTTTTTTTTCTGCTGAGGTTACCTTGTACAAGCCAGCACTATCCAAGCAAATCTCTGCATGGAATGGAATGGAATTAACAGAGGCCAAGTGCTGAGGAGCATTAACACACTGAACTGCTGGGAAACACCAGCACATCCACTGGGGAGTGTGAGCTTTTCTCACTTTGTGCTCGGGTGAGTACAAGGCAGAGCCCTTTTAGGAACATATGTAAATGGAAATGATTACTTAGGTTAATAAAGCAATGGTTTGAATATGTAACATTGATTTAGATTGTCTATTGTGATTAGTATCCAAGTCAGATGAACAAAAATGACAGGTCTTATGGCCTGCAACAGCCAATAGCTTTTCATAAAGGAAGATAATTCAGCGAAACTAAAGACAGTTAAAGAACAAAAGGTGAGCATCAGTAAAAGTCAAGCTGTGAGCCTAAAAGTTCTAAGGATTTAATGTGGGGTCCTTAGCAAGTAATATTGGCAAAGTTGGGAACGTTAAATCAGATCCACATTCCCTTTTCTAGAGTTTCAGCTCTCCCATGTCATCAAAGGCAGAGAACTCAGAAATCCATAGCCCAGTCCTCAGAGTTACTGGAAGGTTAAGCCACAGGCCTGACAGATAAAGAGAAAAATGTCTTGCAATTAGCTGAGGAAGTAAGGGTCTGAGTGACTCTGGAGGTCCAGTCTCAGCTAGACCGAACTGCAGCTATAACTGTGTGTGTCAGCTGGGTCTAGCAATGTCAGCTGGGTCCAGATTCACAAAAAGTTTAGCACTAATTCTATGTGCAATTTCCAGCCCATCTCTACTATGTATTTCATCTTGTTTCCTTGATGTTTATTATGAATAGCCAAAACACTTGCACAAGCGTTTTATGAATAGCCAAAACACTTGCACAAGCAGATGATGCTTTTGTTTTAATACTAAGATCATTTTTTCTCCTATGACATTTCAGTGAAATATTAGAGTTTCCTTCCAGACACTATTAAGTTCCAAGCAGAGGAAGTACAGAGAAATACAACCATCTGGTTTCTATGGGAAGAAGTGGCTGTGCCTAACTTTGGTTAGTGAACTTATTTTCATTGCCCCAGTACAAATATCACAACAATTCTATTAACCTGTTGCGTACCTAAAATATTTTCAGCTTGCATAGACTGAGCAGTCACTGACTGCTGAGAATGTTGCACAGTGATGAGAGTCCCTCACAGCTTCTTTGTGGTTTTGTGGATTTGAGCAGTACCCCATAAAATGCAAAAGCAATCTGACTGCATCCATCCATTTATTGTGTGTGTAAAATATTACTGGGTTTTAGCCTGTGGCTGCTAAGACTGACTTCAAAAATATCCATCAGTCCTGAAAAATCTTGAAGAGATGTTCATGTCTGCTTCATTCAGATAACAGGCTATCAGGTAGAAATTTTAAAAATGCATGTGTGGCACTATCTGGAATTTTGTTTTGAAATAAATGTATATTATCTGATGATTTTAATTAAAAATAGGCACAGGTCCTCAACCTTCTCTCTCATAGTTTCACAGGAGTTAATGGAATAATGATATAACAATGTTAATACAGCTTTTAAAAAAGCAAAAAAAAAATTAATTTATTGTCACAGTTCTGAGGTAGGTAAATAGAAGAACCACTGGGATTAGGCACAGGGTAAACACAGAGAAATCAACAGAGCCAGCCATAAATTATGAATTGCCTAATTTAGTGCCACCTCTGTCCTCAACAACTGGACTGGACTGACTTTTCTGGCATGACACTGTTAAAAAATTCAAATTGTAGCTGTTTACGCTCTGCCCAGTCAGAAGCTCCACAGATAAATATCAGTTGGATTTTGTATGATGTTTATTTCCTTTTGCCAAAGCTCAAACCTGGGACTGAATCAAGCACAAAGGATTTGATGTCAGTGCAGATGCTGAAAGTTTTCTCCCCAGCTGTAAGATGCTGAAGTTAGTCTCATGAGCACAATGCATGAAAGGCTTTTGGTCCACTCTGGCACACAAGATATTCTCTAAATAAGAAAAAATGACCAATTAACATTTCTGTTCTTCTGCTATAATGTTTAGAAGCAAGCAGATGCAAAGCTAAGGAATTACAGAAAGTATTAATATTTTGCTGCCAAGAATATTTTTAGTAATATGTGGGACTAAAGGGCATCTTAGGTCATAATTTCTAGTGTTCTATTAATGAAGACAACAATTTAAAATAATCTCATAATTATATGAATCTCTATCTTCAAAGTACAGAAGAATAGAAAGGGAAAAAGGTTCTACTGGGAGACTGCAAAAAAACAACAGTTTGTGAAGTCTTATTCTGGTTTTCAGTCTGAATTTGTTCACTGGCTGCTTCTATACATTTTTTCTTTTGTCAGTATAACCATTATGCTGAAATATTTTTTTTTTTCTCAGCAGGTTACCTCTCTGTATTCAGAGGGCAATCATAGCTCCTCTCTGCTTTCATCTTAGAGACAAACTCATCTTTCATTCTTCTCCTGCAAGACAGTTCAATTCTCCTGCTTGTCCCACCTCTCCGTATCTGTTTCCATCTGATTTCATCTTCCTGAAGCACAATTGACCAGATTCACCGGTTTTTGTCCCATGTGAAGTTCATAAAATAGATTGGCCCGAAACTTCTTTTACAGATCTACAAAGGATAAGGATAAGGAATAACCTCTTAACATTGCTAAGGGTGAAACATGGCATGTGGTGCTTGTGTTTTTCTTTCTGCTCTTAGAAGATGAACATGGCAAAAATAAGAAAGATGTTCTCAGGCAGGCAGGAGTCAGCTTTTCTCATGATTGTACCACAGAGGAAAATCAAATGAGACTTAAACTCCTAAGGCTGCTCTGGTATAAAATATTTTTAGGTGTGAAATATTTTAATTGAGAAGACAAAAATCCCTAAATCTGCAAGTTGGGAGAGCGGAGATCCCAGTTCCTGAACCACTGGAAGTTTATGCCAAGTGGAGACATTAAGAACCAGGAATCTGGGTAATCTGAGTAAAGGATTTGGCCTCAGGACAAGATTTGGAGTGAGGCAAGAAATCAATCAGTAAGCCTGCTTGTTCAGGAGAGTGAGGGACAGCAAGGGTTATACAGAGGGAGCCAAGAGCTGGGGATGAAAGAATAATTATCAAGAGCAAGAGACAAATTACATAGACCAGCAGCTGGCTACAATCCCTTCTCAGCCAGTTCCAGGGAGCAATAAGGTCCCCTCTGGAGCTTTTCTCCAGGCTAAACACCCCAGCTCCCTCAGCTGCTCCTCATCAGACCTGTGCTCCAGCCCTTCACCAACTGCTGCCCTCCTCTGGACTTGCTCCACCACCCATGACCCTGGGCAGGAATGTGTTGCCATTGCCCCTATTCCTTTTGTACTATGGCCACTATTAGGTGAGAGTGGCACTGCTTAAAAATAGGCCACATTTCTGAAAGAAATAGTTTTAAAGAAAATGTTGAGAAGGTTTGTCAGTGTGCATTGTCCTGTTTGATTATTCACATGCTAACTGTATTGTTCCTGCAGTATCTTCAGCTTGAAGATCAGTCAGAATACAAAACTCTGCCTTCCCTGAGACAGTCAGACAGACAAACAGTGGAACAAAAAATGCCAGTGAAGTGAGTTGCTGTTTATGGCTATTTTAATGGTAGGAAATTTATGTGACGGGATGACCAAGTTTGAATAATCTGTACAGCTTTATTTTCCTTCACCCTTTGAAGGGGATATGACTATTCTGATTCCTTGTTGTCAATTCTGCTTGCCATTTCCATTCAAGTAAATCCCACACAGTCAGTGAGATCATTCTGACTGGTGAATAAATATTAAAACAACTAATATTACCCATAAGAACAAGAAGCAAAACTGTCTGGTTTATCCTGGTCTTTCATTTTGCTTTTTTGCTTTACAAGAAAGCTAGTAAATATTTAACAAAAATCCTGAAAATTTATCATATATTTGATAAAAGTTTCTTATTGTTGCTAAAACAAATTCTCTGCTGATTAATGCCATCATCACATGATGTCGCACAAAATACAACATAATGCTATGTTTGGTTTTCATTTGTGTTTTCACAGACTTTCTATATTTGCACTCCAGCTTCCCTCATGTATGTCTTTATATATACTTATAAATATGCACATTTTTTTTCTTGTTTAAATATAGATTTTGCACTCTGTATACAAGTAAGTGGAGAGCTACAAGAAAGCTTGCTTGTTTAAGGTGTCACTGTCACCATCCCTTGTAATAATTATAACTACAGCCACATAATATCCTGACATTATTATATGATCTCTTTATAAATTTGCAATTAGAAAATACCATTACTGATGATGCTGAGAAGCAGCTGTGGAACACAGCTCTCAAACCAACCTCTATAATTCAGAGTGCAGGGTTTTGACAGCTGAGCTCTCAGAGCCCCCTTAAGAATATCAAATGTTTTTTACGGAACTTGAGAGTGCTTATGATTGTTTTTAACACTTAGTTTTTTGGTTTTGGTTTTTTTTTTTTTGGTTGGTTGTTTTTTTTTGGTAGGGTTTGTTTGTTTTAAGAAAACTGGCACTATTTTATGCAGAAGAAAGTGTTTACCCTCATGTCTAGCAGAAGCCTACAGTAAGTTGCAGGGGAAGAGTCAAAGCTATGAATTTACTCAATTATTTATGCCCCCTAGAAGCTCATATGAGGCCCATGTTTCCTATTAGTGTTAGCTTGGTAATATTTTTAGATAATTCCTGTCATTACAAGCAAAAAAAATGCCATATAAATTAATGCCTAATCCATTTGAACTCGAGAAGAAATTCAGTGCACACTCTAGAACATTCCTACCTCTCCTATGCTTTATTAGAGCTCCACCAGCTGCAAGCACTACGAGTATTTCCAGGATGAACAGTCAAGTAAGCAGTGCCAATATCCCTGTTTTGCTGTGTGTAGGGCAGGAGGAGTGGCTGAGGCCCTCTCCCAAGCAGCCAGCCACACCACTGTAGGCTCTCAGCCACCCCAGGCTGCACAGGGCAGAGACCACAATGCTATTTTCAAGGGCAGATGTTGTTTTCACAGGTCAAACGCTGGGGAAACCATGGCCTGGTCTGAGTCTGTGGATACAGTACTATCCAATAAAGGTAAGAAGGGATGGAAAAACATATGTGTTTTTAAAACATTTGTCATCCCATTTACCAAATATTCCTGCCAGGTTTTCACACTGCTCTCCATTCAGCTCCCCACATGCACTGAACTGACCAGAGCTGCTGATGGAGGTGGGGGAGCGGCTGTCCTGAGAGGTTTGTCCAAGCTGCAAACACAACATACCTTCTGTCCAGGGCTCAAAGGCAGGCAGAAATGCTATGAAATAGTTTTTATTAAAGTAACTGCTAAATTCCCTTTGCAGAGGTTTCATTTTTAATAATTTTTTTCACAAAAACCTACAAACGTTTCCTTAGATATTCCTGAGAAATATGTGCGTTGTGCAGTGACTTCTAGTCAAACAAAAAATGACATGTCTAAAGTCACTTCTCCTAGAAATGCCATTTCTACAGACCTGACACCACAAACCACATGCAGCTTGGAAATTTCCTTGCCCCTGCCCCATTTCCCAGCAGTAATATTGTGGCCTGGACCTTGGGATGCCTCCACCCTGTTCCTGGATAGCATTAACTTGACTAACACTACTAAATTTAGGTACTGTCAGCTTTCTTTACTCATTGGTTCTGATTTGGATTAATTTAAAAACCATTTATTCCAAACAAACCTTTATTTGTTTCATTTTTTCCCCTTCAAAGTGAAAAAAAAGAAAAAAGAAAAAAAAGAAAAAAGAGGAACAAAGAAGTAACAAAAGTAACAAGGAGTCCATCTTTTATCCAGGTCTTAATCTTTCCTTGAAAGGAGATGGAAGCCCCATTTGGGCAGGGAACCTCAGCTGTGGGGGAAGCACACTAGCACAGTGTGACCTACATTTCTATTTGCTTCTCAGCCGAGGGGTCAGCCTCAAATATCTGATTTCCCAGCCACTACAAATCCTTTGGAATCCCCTTTTAACAAATGTACCAGTGCTAAAGAGACCAAACCACAGCAGGCAGCTGTTGGGAGCAATCCTTGGTTGGCAACTCACTGAAAAACTCTCTTAGTAGTCCTCTTATCAGCACTGTAATTTAATCTCCTATTTGTTTCCCCTGCAGCGGCTTCTCAAACCTGATTGCTGCCTGACATGTAAAAGAGTGGCAGAAACATAGGTTACACTATACACATACTGTAAAAAAAAAAATTAAAAAAAAAAATATATGTACATACACACATGTGAGTATGCATGCACATAAATTGCACTGGCCTTTCAGTTTTCCTCCATCCACTATCTGATGCATTTCCCCCAGAGGGCCTGGCAGCTTTTCGGACATTTTTGAAGTCTGAATTCAGTGAGGAGAATGTGGAGTTCTGGCTAGCCTGTGAGGACTTCAAGAAAACCAAATCCTCCACTAAGATTGCGTTGAAAGCCCAGAAGATTTATTCTGACTTTATACAAGCTGATGCTCCAAAGGAGGTAAAGAGTTTTTCCTGTGTGTGCTTTGGGTACTGAGGATAGCGATGAAGTGGAAAGTTCAGATCCAGACCTCAAAGAATGACCAAAAATACAATTCATCCTGGTTGTAACTCCCATTTTAATGTCCATTATTTACCACGTAAACACCTTGTGCAACTCCATGAAGCAAAGATGTTATGGTTTACACTTCACATTCTTTACATTCTTCACACTGGGAATAAGTTTACCTCGTCTTCTGAAATTTCTGCCAGAAGTTTTAAGGAAGTTTATGCTCAATATAATTTGTTTTCTCTAATCATTTTTTGTAATGCAGTAAGCACCATCTCTTCTGTATTCAATGTACCAGAACATTAATAGGTTTATGATTGCATTTGTTCTTTTGTGTAGGTATTTTTGACATGAAGAGAATGCAAAAATTTCCATCACAGAATTCAATTTTGTAATTATTTCAAAAAGGCTTACTGTGAAAGATAAATTGCTTATTAATCATTATTCACTTTCTGCACCTTAAACATTTACACTGATGTTTTTGCATTTGCTAGCAAGAGTGCTTTAAACATTCCCACGTATTATAGATGATTGAAATGTAATCATATCAATCAATAATAAGATGATTGATTGATATTATTGTTAAAAACAAAAAATCCTTTAAAAATACATAGGGCCAAAGTCTAAAATGATGCTGAGTACCTTCGCCTTTAATTTACTCTTTGGTAATCAGTACTTCATAGGATTTGGCTTGGCAGAAAGATGAGAAGGAAAAGCAAGTTTTTCCCTTATTTTTTTCAGTGATGCCATGTTTTTAAGAGCCAAATAAAATGAAGAATTCAGTCTGCTAGAAAAGGAAGGGATGAGCTTCCTGTTTATTTGCATCAGTCAGGTTATTTGGGAGGAAATTCAAATGCAGCTTGTGTCCTGGACACAAACAGACCTCAGCTTTCTGAGCAAACTGACACTACTTTCATGCTCCTTTCTTCCTACAGATAAATATTGACTTCCATACCAAAAATGACATCTCCCAGAACATCTCTGAGCCCACCCTCAGCTGCTTTGATGCTGCTCAGAGCTCAGTCTACTGTCTCATGGCAAAGGACTCTTTTCCCAGGTTTCTGAGGTCAGAAGTGTACAAGGAACTGGTGAAGAAGCACCAGGACAGAAATCAGAAGAGATGGCTCCCGTTTCTGTGAGGAAAAACATTGAGGCTTTAGGAATTTATAATGTCTCCCATTGCAATTCAGTACAGATAATTATTCATTATTAAAGGGATTGCAGAAGCCACTTTCAAGAATCACCTGTGCCAACTTGTTTTTAAGTACAAATTGCACGTGATGCTTTCTAATAACAGTAGAGAAATATTCAAGAAGCAGGATGGAATATGCTAGACACTTGAGCTACCTTCCTAATAAAAAACTTTGCCATTGTTGTTTTTTTCCAGTGTTTGCTTCATTTTTCAAAGCAATTTGAGATTTTTAAGCATAATGTTTTGCTTTCTTTGTTTGCTGTTGATTCCTCTTTAGAAGTACAGGCTCCAAAATAAATCCCTTTCAGGAGACCTGAATACATTTACTCCTTCATTTGTCACCTTATCTGAAGCTTGCAAAAATATTTAAATCCTCTTTTAAACTTGTTTTATGCTAATTCAAAATAGGAGATGTAGAAATATGGTCGATAACACACTATGATAATATTTAATAAATAGGCAGCTGCTTTATAACAAATGTCCTTGGCATTCAGAGCAAATTATTGTTTCACAATACAGTTGTCTTCAATAAGAAGATCTTCAAGTTTCTTTGTGTTAATTTAATTTTTTATTGAAATGTCTTTTTTAGTCATTGCATAGGCATCTGGGAAGAAAACTACAACTGAGTAAATCTTCCTTTGTGCATTTTCAATTAATTAATTTTCTTTGCTTTTCCAAATATATTGGTGGTACTGTCCCCCCACATACGATGGAATAATTTCATTAATTGCTACCAATGAAATTCATTTACTAATTTCATTTCAATAAAATACAGGTAAGTAGAAAAGTAGGCAGAAGAAACAGTTTTAGGCTGTAAAGTAAACATGTAAATCAGGATTTAGTAATGGTGTTATCTTTCAAACCAGCAAGGTATGATTGGAACCTGCAATCTTCAGGTACTTACAGATGCACACACTGATCAAATTCACTGCTCTTGGAGGATTTATTGCACATATTTAGATGAAAGGAAGAGAGTTGTGTCATGGTACTGAAGAAAAAATATTTAAAAGAAATAATCCTTGCTATGGAAAAATATTCTAAATACAAGAGACAGCAATAAGAGTTTTCAAGAAGAAAAAAAAAGTCTTTAATTTTAATTAGATGCTTTTGAGTGCTCTAAATCTCCAGGAATCTTTCCCTGCTTGGAGCTCTGCTCATACCTTCTACACACCACCACATCCTTGTCCTAGGTTGACTATGTGATGCTTTTATCCCCAATCGTCTTGTTCTGTTTATGCTGAATAATAAGTTTTGCACCTTTAAGACTTGTTCCAGAGTGAAGGGGGGAGAGAAGAAGTGTGCAGTTTGTTTTCAGACACTGCACTCACTCCTCCACGTTCCTGCTCCTGACTGTGTTGTCTGTGGATGAACAGACAGCGGGACAGAGCTCTCCTTTGCTTTAGTGAGTTTTAGCTTGCTGAGGCAAAGAAGTTCCCTGGACTGTGGTTTTTTCCTTTTTTCCTTTTTCTTTGGACCTCTTGAAACCTGCTCTGGACTGAACACCCAGAAGAGCACCAGCAGCTGCACCTGTGGCCCACCAGGCCAGGCCCGGCCCGCGACATTTCCAGCACTGAGGGACTGATCAGAGCCTGTGTGAGCTGAACTGCAACCCAGGGAGGGACTTTCTCAGTTTGTCATCTCTTTTGGAGCAACAAGGGGTTTTATTGTTTAATGTTGTTTAGGTTTTATTGTTTAATAAACAGTTTTTTCCACTTTTCTCCAAAGAAGTATTTTTCCTGAACTGGCTGGGAGAGGGGCCAATTAAATCTGCTTTTCTAGAGAAATCCCTTTGGAAGTTCTCTCCCTAATTTGCCCTGAACCAGAACAAGTCCTCTATGCAAAATATCGTATTTTATCAAACTACATTAAGGAACCAAGTTATTTAGACTGTAAAGGATATTAAGTAGCCTGAAAGTCTGAATACACTCCTCAAGTTATGAACTGAGGTTAAAATCCTGACACATCTTAAGCAGGCAGGGTGAAAAATATCTATTCTTTGACATCCAACTTCTAGTCTATCACCTAGTTTTAATTTTTGCTGTCTGCATTTCTTTTTCTCTTTTCTTTCTTCCCCAGTACTGCTGGTTAGTAGAGAAACGAATAGGAAGGCTGAGGTTAAGCTGCAAGGAGGATGTGGGCTCCTCTGGCCGTGCCACAGCTGCCTCTGATCTCACAGTGACATTTCTGGGGACAATCGCCCCTCCTGCCTGAACTGCAGCCTCAGGGCCGTTTCTGCTGCCTGGAGTCACAACACAGGCAGCAGCCAGGAGGGCCCAAATTATGGCATTTACTCAAAAGTGTTGCAAGTCATCTTCCCTTCCTACAAATCCCATTTGTGTTTTCAGAACAGAAAATTCCCACAGAAAGGAAGAGGTGGGATCACACCACTTTTCGTTGTAGGTCAAGCAAGTAGAAACCCAAAATTTCTGTGCTCCCAATCTTTTGGAACCTGAGGATAAAAAAGTGCTTGAAAACAAATGGGTGGTAATGAAATCTCACAATTCTATCTGTGCCCCTATAAATCCTCCCACTTCTGGCTCTACTACAGCAGAGATAGAAAATGCCAGAATGATGGAGCTCCAGCTCCTGGCCATTTGAAAACACAGCTTAAGGAGAAGTTACAAGCATATATAAAATAGTCAAACATGATAAAAATGATGTGTGCCATTATTCTGATAATTGCATAAAAACAGTATCACAAAACATGACGTCCATGTTATGTCTGGCTGATCCTCTGTTATCAACAGCACCATTATTGTCAAAAGAGGTGATAATTCTTGACATTTTCACATATGACATTAATTTTAATAATTACACTGTGAAGAACCATTAATGATTTTAACAAATTTTCAATTAATTTATAATGTTTTTATGAGAAATGTAAAGGAATGGCACTTCTAGGGGGTATATCCCTGACTCAAGGGTGAATTAACAGTACTAATTCTTTCATAACCTCTTAATGAAAACTTTGGTACTTCTAATTCACAAAGTTAATGAAACTTTTGCTGTTGATCAAGCCTCACAACATTTTTATTAATCTGTTTCAGATGCTAAACATGAGATGAAACTTGGAGAATTTAAAGAAATTATCACTATAAATTCATATATCTTTAAAGGCAATTTGATTGCCATTCACAAGTAATTTTTCAAACTCTCAGAGAACTATCTGCCCATATCATATGCAATTACACAGAAGCATCTACAGCATATTGAAATGGTTTGGATTTTAGCAATCAAATTTCTGAAAACTTCTGTGATGCAACTTATCTATTAAGCATTATAAAAGATCTATTTCAGAAAGTGTTTGAAAACACCCACCTGTGAAAGCTGGGAGGCAGTAGTCTTTATTTCTCTTTATTTCCTAGATTTAAAACTGCTGCTTCATACTCCTACATCACCAAAAAAAGGTCACAGCTTAGCATTCAAGCTCTGATAATTTGACTTATGAAAGGCCAAGGACAGAAGTGTGATTTAGAGGATTTAGATTGAACTTTGCCAAAAAGACTCAATCTTGGTCAGCACAAAAAGGTGGGTTTACCAAAAAATCCTACCAAATATAAATGAGAGTAAAAAATGCAAAGTGAATACCACACATTAAAAAAAAAAAATCCCAATTTTTTCACACAGTGCCAATCCTAAAGATCCAACAGCATCTAGACTCAGAGATCCCACCATATTCATCATGCTTACATCATGACAGGACTGTTCCAGGTTTAATTTTTAAGGCATATAGTCTATGTTTTCATTCTATTCATATATTTTATATTTATAAAATATGCATAGAAAAATAATAGACATGTACATCAAGATAATAAATGCAAATTAGCCCTCAACAGAGGATGGATATCAGGATTGTTTTGAAGCTCAGGACCACAAACGAAAGGCAGGCAGTTATATTTTCAGTTGCAGACAGGATTATATGATACTCTTTGATATGTCTTGTCAAAGGTTTGTTAAATTCAACACATTTCTGTAAATTTTGGAGATGAAAACTCAGTATTTCCTCTTTTGCCAGAAAATTCTCTACTAACACTGTAATGCAAAAATGTACTTGAACAGACACACATAATTACAGGCTTTGCACAAGAACCTCTTAGGCTTTTGTTTGGATCTTGATCCAAACAAAAAAGATCAGGAGGTGGAATTCCTGGAGCAGTGTCTCCTGCTAAGCAAGACAACCATCACTCTAGGAACCTAAGCTCCTAACCTTTGAGGAGGATTTTCAGTGAGCCATTTTAGTAGGCTTCTGCTCCTGAGGTGTTTGGATCCATGTCAGAGCCCAGGGCCCTGTCCCCATGGCTCACCCACACCCTGCTCATCCTCTTCCTCCCGGAGCTCTCCACCGGAAAACATCGCCATTCTCATTTTGCCCTTACTTTCTGTATATAAAGCTCTCTCTTGGTGAGATGTCTGCAGCTGATTCTTGACCTGGTCCAGCCCTTCTGAAGGATCCATCTTTTGAAATGAACCTCAGTCACAGAAAGAGGCAGAAACAGCTTCAGCAATGTCTGCAATTTATCCAAACACGAATGACACCGGTGTGGCCAAACCATTCCAGTGAGCAGCAGTTACAAAACGTTCCATTTGACAACTTCCCTACATGTGCATGTCGAAGTTGGCGAGTGATTTCCTGGTTTTTATCTTCTCTCTGCACCACACACCTTTAGAGATGCTCCAGCTTGTGAGAAATCATCTGAATGATGCCCATGAGCCAGGGGAAGGGCCCCTGCTCACCTCTGCGGGGGTTAGATCAGACACAAGACAAGAAAATCCAACCTGAACTAGGTATATAAAAGTTCCAGGAATTCTGAAGACTACGTGCCAAAATTAACCATTTTTTATTAAAAAACTCCCTGGATTTTGGGGAGAGCAGGTGCTACATCTAGACTTTACTGCTATGTCATAGAAAGGGAAACCTACCATTTGTAATCTGATTCCTGCAAAGGCAATACAGGGGAATTAACTTAATGAAATCACTTTAGTATCTTTATTTCTGGAGGATAATTACACTCTGCAGTGCTGGTGGAATTTTAAAGTACATTATGTATCTGAAATTGAAGCATGTTTTCTGCCTTTTGGTTTACTGAAAAGCGAGGCAGGGAGAAAACCATGAAGAGAGGCCTTGTCACAGTTGT